CGTGAGTAGATAAATGGGTACTCTCACCCCGGTGGGAGGAAAATGCTGGCAGCGCTTGCACAGGAGACGGGAGCAGTTGTCGGTGACGCGGAAGCTGCGCACGCCCGAAAAAGGCGCGAAGCAACGGAAACCCCGTTTCCTGCGCTCGCCAGCTGGGCCCTGCTCTAGGAAGGAGGCAAGAGCAAACCACTTCCAAAACACCTTGCCTTGAAAACTGCAGGGACTCGTCCAGGCAGTCACCGCAGAATCGGCCACGATTGAGTGCGGATAAAAAAAAAAACCTGAGAAAGTAGACTTCCTTTTTTCAAGCAAAATGTTTGATCAAATGCAAGGAACCCACAGGTAACTTAACTGCAGAAAAGAGGAAGTGTTGTAGATTTCTGTATCTTCCTTAAAGGATATAGGAACGGTGTCTTCTTTTGCATTTTGTCATCCTTTGACTACCCAAGTAAAGACTGGAAACGCCCTTTCTTCAGATTGGCGGTTAAAATCCTTGATGGTTCAATAAATATAGTCATGCTACGTAAGAGTCCATTATGTGGCTTCATGTACCATTACAACATTTAGAAAAGTAAGTAGATTAGAAAAGTGTCAACCTCACTGGAAGAGAAACTGGCATTGTTGAAGTACTCATCTGCACTCCTTACAATGAGGGATAATATGCTTCCTATTCACAAATCCAGTGGCAAATTAATCAGAACTCTCAGTTCATTGCAACAGAGATTAGAGAGCACTTTCTGGCAGATTAAGTCACTAGTAAACAATAGCAGCAGTAATAAATATTATGTTCAATATCCAAGATCTGCTTTGGGTAGATAAAAACAAATTTCAAGAGGAAGCATACCAAAAGGGCCTTTTCAGTTACAGCACTAGTTCTCCACCAAGAATTCTGCGCTGACTGCAGAGGAGAGTGAATTAATAATCTTGTCTTATTATTTATTTGGATACTATTGAGTTTTATTTTCTGTTTCTACAGTTACCCAAAATTCCTATTAGAAAAAAGGCAGAACAATGAAACTAAATTTTGGCAAAGATTAAAGTCAGCATCCAGATCACTTCTTAAAATTCATAGATAGTGAGCAAAAAGTGCAGGCTAAGCAAGAAATTCATTTCTGCGGTTTTATAAATGGGGGTCAACAGTTCAACCTTCACTTTTGCCCTACCAGATCTTATTTAATATCCCAGTAAGACAGGACTTACACAGATTTTTTGAAGGTTTACCAAGTTCTGTCTTTAACTTAAAAGGGTGCACTTATGATATCATGGCAATATTTGAAATGTAAGCATACGGCCAAATAGGCCTAATGGTGTTTGAAATCTAAATAACCCCAAGTAAATATTACATGTAATATTTTAACAAAATATTCCTAGCTGCATACACTTTCCTACCTATCCAAGGAGGGCATTCCTGAAACAGGTTATCAGCTTTGCAATCTAAAAACACACTGCCAAATATTCAATATGAGGTTTTATTTCTTCCTGAACTCAAAATAAAATTTCTAAATGGGCAGTAATAAAAATTGTTTCATAGAAAACAATCAAACAATCTTTCATTATCATGACATCTTGCAGTGATCAAGTCCATATAACATGGTATGTGTGTCGTGGTGGCTTTCTTTCAGACAGAAGTTATTTCATGTATTAATTGTGTTCTTGAAGACTTACTGTTTTTTGTAGATGCCAAATAAGGTATCAGTAGTTTGAAAATATACAGTAGAACAACTTTGCTTTGTCTATACAACAAATATTTACATTTTTTAAATTTGTAACCTTTCTTTTCTTTTTTTATTCTTTCAGTGTGCATATTAAAAAAATAAAGCGTAAAATTTATAATTTGGAGTGAAGGATCTCTCTCAATACTGAGTGAATTGTCCCTTCCCTTTCTTCACTGTTGCCAAGTTACACACAGACTTCCCAGCTGCCCTGCAGTTATAACCTGTGTGCAAAGGAAAGTGTTTTTTCTTCCCTCATTTTGTCGTGGTGGGATGGTTATTGGACAACAGTGTTTCGTACCTAACTTCATCAAGGTGATATTCACATCCTTTCAAAGGAGCATATATAGTAGATGTTCAGAGTTGTCTGACTTAATCATGCAATTCACATGGGTTGGGTTGGGACAAATTGCTAGGCTACATAGTTTGCTAGTTTGTGGCTCAGTGTTTTGTTCTAACCCAGACAGCACTGTATATTTGTGGTTCGTACATTTTCGGTGTTCTGTGAACTCAGACAGTTAGACTGTCTCCCCATCACTGAGTGTGTTCAAACAGAGGTTACTAAACTATCCCTCTGAGATCCTTTCATTTGGATTCCTGCACTAAGCATGGGGTTGGACCTGATGACTAAATGGCTTCTTCCAGCTCCAGGATCCTATGACACACAACAGACCTGCATTCAGGAAAATCCTTATAAAGTAACATGACAGGAGTTATTTAAAACTCATCCTGGGCAGGGTAGTAGCAACTGATTCTATACCAGCCCATAAATCTATTTTCAAATCCATGTTTATAACCACTCAGTAACATGTCAGTGCCAGGTCTTAAAGAAAAAGTACCCAGCAGAAATTGGAATGAAAAAGCAGAAATGCAGCTCCCGAACACTGCTGCCCATTTGCTTAAAAATCAACCCCCACAGGGAACCAGGAGGAGGCGGCCTGTGGCCTCTGCATACAATTTTAGCCTCTTTCATCAGCCTGCTAGAATCAGACTAGTGACCATGATATGAACATCTCTCTCTCTCTCATTCTCTCTCTCATCTATAGTATCCACCTATCTACCTACCTACCTACCGTACTTACTTCATTTATGTACTGCTAGAATTGAAAAGCTTCCTGGTGGTTTACAGTGAAAACATCAAGTTCACCCTCTTGTTTACTCAGCCAGGAGTAGCTTTATCTAGGATGAGAACCTAGCGACTGCAACCTAGGCAACTTTTCAACCAATGGCTCCTAGTGCAACCAAAAGATATTGTACAGCTACCCATACTTTTTCTTCATACTGTAATGGATTTTCTTTGATTATAATATTTTTAAAAGATGGAAGAATTGCTGGAAAACAATGGAAAGCAGTGTTTTCAAGACCTCCCATAAACTTATTTGACTGAAAAAGAACCCGTGACTTGTATAAAGGTTGAGAGGAAATAACAGGAGCATTTGCCTGAGGCCCATGCATGGAGAGGGCTCTGTCCAGAACACAGTTCAGTATTTGAAATAATAAGATGAATTCAAGACACTAAAACTGATCAGTGAAATAACATTCCAAAAGTTATTCAGTATTTTGGGCTTCTCTAGTCACTCTCATGTTGACTTAACTAATAAAAAGAAAGGCAGAAACAGAAAAGGCTGTCCTGACCTTGCATGCAATGAGGAGAAAGTTGGGAGAGGGTCAAATGAGATTCTCCCCCCCCCGCCCCCCCGCTTCCAGACATGGTGTGTTGAAAAGGCCAATGGAAAAATGTCTGTTCAATGAAATCGTCATCTGGAGATGCCTCAAGTGGTAGTCTTTGCGGAGAAAGCCAGGAAAAGACTCTTACCTTTAGAGCAGTCTAGCTCTGTGAAACCATCCTCACAGTAGCACTCGCCACTGTCACAGTACCCATGGCCACTGCAGTCTTTAGGGCACCTCTTCTCACTGCAGTCCTCTCCAGTGAACTCCTGGTAACACTGACATACCCCACTGACACAGACCCCATTTCCACTGCAGTTCTCAGGACACAGGAGCTGACTGCAGTCATCACCAGCGTAAGGGGCACTGCAAACACACCGGCCATCAACACAACGCCCGTTACCACTGCAATTTCCTGGGCATGTGGGTTGGGAACAGTTCTGCCCTTCCCAGCCTTCCTCGCAGTTGCAGCTGCAGATCTCTTGAATAAAAGTGCCATGGCCACTGCAGGATGATACACCTGTCCAGTAAGAGTTCCAGAACAGAGCAGGAAAAGGGGAGACAAAGACACATGAGCACCAAGATGCGAGCACAGAGCAACTAACCTGAAAAGAACCCTAAGAGGAATAATGAACACTGACACCCTGTTTACATGTATGAGCTCCAGTTTTAGCTGAGAAGCACCTTGAGGTAAAAGCTGTCTTTTTGTTTTGCTGCCTGTCAGCCTTACCAGGTGGGCCAAACAGGAAGCACAACCAGATAAGCTAATCCTAGTTTATTGTAAAGCTACATTAACAGAATCTTGCAAGTCTGACAGTACAATTCTCCCGCCTTCCCCTTTACAGCCCGAGAAACTAGGGGGGGTCCCTTCTATGCCTCTTGCCCTGCCCATTATGCAGCTGCAAGCTATGCTGACTCTTATCTGACTGTTCCCTAGGCAGCATCTCTTCGCCCCATCTCCCAAGGTCTTTCCCACATACCATTACATTACCCTTAAACCATCACATACAATATTGCTGCTTTGCTTTTAATGATAATGATAAAACGAGGAGAGGAATTTTACGGGGTAGAGGGTAAATCTGCATAAGAAGGCTCCATGAAATTGCATAAGAAGGCCCCAGGAAATTGTTTATAGAACCTTCACAATCTGGACCCCACTAAGCTGAATCTGGATCACCACCCATCAATGGCAGGCAAGCCGGTGTTTGAGGTGCTGTTTGCCTAGGGACACAGGGCAATTGTCAGGCACCTGATAGGACACAATACACAACCAATAGGCTATACAGATAGCTTCCTCACCTTGCCCTCTTCCACAACACCTTTGAGGGTTACAGATCCCTTTCAGATGTACCACTTCTAGTTCTAACTTTTCCAGTCTTTCCAGCAAAGCTTTGAGGTGTCCAAGAACTTCACAGTCTCCTTTGGGAGCTTGCAGCCGAATGTTGTGCCTGAATATAATGTTTTGCTCCTCGCCCTCATCCACTTCGCCATTAGTGAACAACATGTGGTTGTCGTCTTGGAGAGAGTCTGGGTCTGGTTCTATCTTGAACTGAAAGGACTCAGGCACATTAATCTTGTATGAATGACTAAGGCTGATCTTCTGGCTTCGGTCAGAGCAGTTTTCGGGCTGAGCAGGCAGTTGTGTCAGGACCTCCAGGGACAAGCAGTGCATCAGAATCTCCAGGAAAAAAATCCACATTACCATCTTGGGGAATTGGGGAAACAAGAAGGTAAAATGAGGTAAGCTGTTTTCTAGATTCTATAAAGATTGCAGGAAATATATTCTTGGCAATGCTCACTGGGGAATTGATCAAGAGCTGATCTAGACATAGAAGAGAATCATCGGGCATAGGGTATCCTTGCAGAATGCACTTTAGCAATCCTTTGCTTCTTGCATATAAAATACACACACATATTCCTTTAGAGCATGTAACTCATGCTTCTCTTTGGTCTTTGGGAAAATAGATTGCTATGTGTAGGAAGTAGGTTTGAGGGGAAGCATTTTTTGAAGTGCTTTCAAAGAAGCATTTAATCATGCACGTGACATTGAGCTTGGATTATAGTTTGTCTCAAGGTTTGAATTTTTTCTGTTTGCCAAATGTATGAAAAATGTCACATAAACCACCAGAAGTTTCCTGAATTAATTAAGACCCCTCTGAGCAAGCCCTTCTGCCTTCTAGAGGCAAGATTTATAAGGTGAAGTTTTGTCAGGCAAACGGGTTTTGTGTTTATGCTGTGTGTTTCTGCGTGGATTGGAGGTGCTGTACATGCATCAAGGAGCAAGAACTGAACCTGTTGGAGGAAGCAGGCAACACAGTTGGAGAGAGGATCCCTGGAGGAAGGAGGGATATATGACTGAGGAACAAGCAAATCGGGAAGAAAGATCTGTGCAGTGGGGTGGCTAGTGACTGGACTGGAGCTGTGTTGGAAAAGACAGACCAGGAGTAACAACATGAAGAAGCATGACCAAGGCACTAGCTATCCAAGAAGCTTAGGACTTCTTTCCACCCTCCTCTCTAAGCTTCAAGCAGAACTGAAGGTACAGGTGGTCCTCAGGTTACAACGGCAATTGGGACCAGAATTTCTGTCACTAAGCAATGCTGTCATGAAGCATGATGTCACATGACCTCATTGCTTAACAATGGCAATCCCAGCAGTCCCGGTTGCTGCATTACCCCAGGACCCCACAGGGGTTATGTTAAGTGGGAAGAGGCAGGAGTGGGTGCACAGGTGCCATGGGGGTGTGTGTGGGGGTACTGCAGGCAGGCACTATGGAGTGCAGGCAGACGAAAAAGCAACGGGAGCGACTTCTGACTTCCTGTCAGCTTCCCCATTGACTTTGCTTGTGAGAAGCTGGCAGGGAATGTCAGAAATCACAATCACATGAGCATGGCTCGCTGCAAGATCATAATTGCAAGCTGGGCACTGAGCACCCAGATTGCAATCATGTGACCATGGGGACACTGCAACAGCTGGAACTTCGAGGACCAGTCATAATGCCCCCTCGTTCAGTGCCGTTGTAACTTTAAACAGTCGCTGACTGAGTGTTTGTAACCCAAGGACTATCTGTAAGGCAAAGGTATCTAAAGAGAAAGATCATGTAACAAAGCAGTGATTAAATTTAGCCAATGGCATGAGATATGTGAGCGAAGTTAAGAAGCTCTGTATATAAATGTATATTTGTTTGTGAGACACTGTATATTTCATTTATCTGCACTGTTACAATAAAAACCATTTGAGTTGGCAGAAAAACAGGTGTGTTTGTGCTGGTTAATCTTGTTGCTTTGACAACACAGGTTTCCACCTACTATCTGAATTGTTAAAATCCAGCAAAGCTGCATCCTTATCCAGGATGCTCGGTTCAAACAAAGAAAGTTCCATGGTGCAGCTTTGTCTGGGGACAGTCCAGAATTGTTTATTCATTGTTTATACTTACCTGCAAAGTTAGAACTGTGTATTACCACCATAATTTCCTTGCCTGGACAGAAGAAACAGAAAAGTGCTACATAATCATTTCTAAAATGGAAGTTTCTTTGGGCTCAAAGAACATACACTGAAAGGAGGATGACAATTTTATGGGTATATTACATTTTTTATGCAGAAGAAAATTCCGCTGTGTTTGGATTACTCTAATAATCCAAATGAATTCAATGAGATGTACTTGTTGGCATATATAAGAATAGGCTGTTTCTACTCCAGGTTTGATTATTAGACGAAGCGTTGGGCTTCTCTAAATTTGGACAGTTCTGTTTAGTTGCTTCCTCAAAAGATGGGTCAAATTTGCACAACACATTTATGCTTCAGACAATGCCTCTGTATGTTCTTGCTGCCAGCTAATGACCGTTTGGATGTTTGCAACCCAGATCTGGTAACCCTAGCCAATGCTGCTTGAAAAGATTGTTTTCCTTAACCAGCTGCAGTTTGCTTTATTAGCTAATAAAAATCTATTTCAGGCATAGAGCTTGGAATCTACAGACATGTAATATCAACATACCTGGAAGGCAATAAATTGGATGCTAAAAAGAATGCTAAAGTTTATGCACCATTTTGGTCTGTTCTGGCCCATTCAGATTCAGATGAAATTGTGGCTAATATGGACATATCATGATATCTCTTCTAAATTTTTGTGTGTGTGTGTGTGTGTGTGTGCGCGCGCCTTTGAGTAGTGTTGACTCCTGGTGACTGCAGTCCCTGCAGTTTCTTGGCAAGGTTTTTTGGAAGTGGTTTGTCCTTGCCTCCTTCCTAGGGCTGAGAGAGACACACTGGCCCAAGGTCACCCAATTGGCTTCGTGCCTCACGTGGGACTAGAACCCATGGTCTCCTCATTTCTAGCCCAGTACCTTAACCTCTACACTAAACTGGCTCTGATCACTTTTCCTACATATTTTTTTTTTCAGATTTCCTTTCTTGATTCTATAGTAAGGTCACCTGATGACATCACTAAAACTATTTTTTAGAAAATACAACTGTTGGGCTGTATGAACTGAGAGAGTCCAAAATCAAATCAATGTGCAATTATTTAAAAATTAGCAAACACAAACGCTAAATATGACACTATTTTTTCTCTATCTTATCTTAAAATGATTTAATCCAAAACAATGTTTGGATTGCACAATAAATATTCCAGCCAGAAGCACTGCTGAGGGAAGCTTCAGAAAACAATTATTAGGATGACCAAACATGCCCTCTTCTTCTCTTCTCTTCTCTTCTCTTCTCTTCTCTTCTCTTCTCTTCTCTTCTCTTCT